TCTGCAGCCCAACAAGATTTCTGCAACCCAATGCAAATCCTGCAAAAATGAAAATATTTCTGCAACCCAACAAGATTTCTGCAACCCAACATGATTTCTGCAAACCAACATGATTTCTGCAAACCAACATGATTTCTACAACCCAACAAGAATCCTGCCAAAAACAAGAATTCTGCAACCCAACAAGATTTTTTGCAACCCAAAAGAATCCTGCAACCCATCATGAATCCTGTAACACATATTTACCGAACTGTAACAAGAAAAATTGCACACAAAATTGACACAGTGGCCCAAAACCTAACTGTAAACATGTCATTGACACAGTGGCCCAAAGCATAACTGTAAACATGTCATTGACACAGTGGCCCTCAAAACGAAAAGATTTCTCCAAACCAACATGATTTCTGCAACCCAAAATGATTTCTGCCACACAACGTGACACCTGCAAAAAAAGAAAAGATTCTGAAACTCAACATGATTTCTACAACCTAACATGATTTCTACAACCCAATGCAAATCCTCCAAAAATGATAAGATTTTTGCAAACCAACATGATTTCTACAACTCAACGTGATTTTTACAACCCGCGAATCCTGTAAAAAAGAAAAGATTTCTGCAACCCAACAAGATTTCTGCTACCCAACAAGATTTATGCAACCCAACATGATTTCTGCAACCTAACAAAATTGATGCAACCCAACAAGATTTATGCAACCCAACATAATTTCTGCAACCCAACAAGATTTCTGCAACCCAACAAGATTTATGCAGCCCAACAAGATTTATGCAACCCAAAAAGATTTATGCAACCCAACAAGATTTATGCAACCCAACAAGATTTATGCAACCTAACAAAATTTATGCAACCCAACAAGATTTATGCAACCCAACAAGATTTATGCAACCCAAAAAGATTTATGCAACCCAACAAGATTTATGCAACCCAACATAATTTCTGCAACCCAACAAGATTTCTAAAACCCAACATGAATCCTGCCAAAGACAAGAATTCTGCAACCCAACAAGATTTTTTGCAACCCACAAGAATCCTGCAACCCATCATGAATCTTGCAACACATCATGAATCATGCAACCCTTCAAGAATTAAGCAAGTCAATAAGAATTCTACAACCCAACAAGAATCCTGCAACACAAATGACAGAAAGATTTAGCACTCAGAAATAAATGGTGAGTTCCTAACTCTTAACGCTCAGTTTTCACAGTGCTAATAAATATTCAATAGTGTTTATGGTTAGCAATATACAACAGAAGCAATATATTTGTTTGTGTTGCATAGTAATCAATCCGATTAGGAATTATTGTTTTACAATATTACGATATATAAAGAGAAGCAGTAAAATAAAAATCAACCATAATTTTTCAGTCAGCTCACAAGCCCACAACCAAGAAGAAGCCAGCCTATTATCAGTCAATGTGTTACCAACAAGAAAATGGACGTCAACCTATTATATGTCAAAACATTATCAACCCAAAAGCAAATAACAGAGCAGACACCATCCAACCATCCATCAACGTATTACCAGCCAGCCTCAATATGTCTAGCGTCCGTTATCAGCCGATTCACTAACCCACAGCCAACCAGCTGCCAGGCTTCTAATCTTCAACATATAGCCTGCTAGCTCTCAACAAAATGACGCCAGCTTATAAATCATCAACGCTTTACTAGCTAGCCCACACGTCCACAATCAAGACGCCAGCCTTATACACGTCAACAAACCTGCCGCCATCTAATTAGCAGCAAACTAATTAGTCAACAGCTATCCAGTTGGTCCGCTAGCCGACAAGCATCCCGCACGACCGAGAATCAGCAGTTATCCGCAAGTCACTCGCCCAACCAGTAATGAATCAGCAAACATCCGCAACCCGACAGCACTTTAGTTTCTAGCCTCATTGACAATACCTACTAGCAATTAGTACAAGCAGAAGAAAGCCAACGTGCAAAAAAAAAAAAAACAGCAACCTACCCAGAAATGGAAATCCCAAAAAACGAATATGAACCCAATATTCTAGCGCCCAGTCATTAGCTGACAAAGATTTGTGCACACCTAATTAAAACAGTGGCCAAAAACAGAACTGTGTAGGCCTACACTTAATTAACACAATGGCCAATGAAAGAACTGTTTACGTCTGATTAACATGTTGGCCAAAAACTTAACTGTACATATCAAAGTGACACGGTGGCCGAATACAGATCCCCAACAGACGGAGTGTTGGAATAAAAACCTGCAACCCATATTTACTGAACTGTAACAAGAAAAATTGCACACATAATTGACACAGTGGCCCAAACTTAACTGTAAACATGTCATTGACACAGTGTCCCAAAGCATTACTGTAAATATGTCATAGACACAGTGGCCTAAAGTATAACTGTACACGTCATTGTCACAGAGACCCATAGCATAACTGTACACATGTCTTAGTGGCCCATAGCATAACTGTAAACACGTTATTGACACAGTTGCCCATAGCATAACAGTACATACCTAATTGACACAGTAGCCTAAAACAGAAATGTACAGTCATGAAACAAGAAATAGTCCGCTTCACATGATCTTGATAACTCCCCTAGACCATATCCAACTCGACACTTAGATGCTACGATTTAATGTTGTTATTATAGTAAAATTCTAACTACTACCTTTTGATATTCTCTTCGCATCTAATACTAGAGTTTTCAGGAATCTATATCGCAATACAATATGTTTAAACTCTTCAGTTTGCTTAAAAATAATATTTTCTTATATTTAGCATTCTAGACTTTAAGCACAGTATGACCAATCTAATATAAGTTAATTGTCAAATTTGATTGATTCTAATTATGTAACTTTTAAAAAAATTATTAATGTAACTTGGTTTATGACGATGATTAAAAAAACTAGATACGTTATAGGCCTATTTGTTTAATTTTTTAAATTATTTACCCATTGGTCATTGTTATATATATATATATATATATATATATATATATATATATATATATATATATATATATATATATATATATAATTTAATTTAATTTCTTTTTTTATTTATTTCATGTTACATTCTTTTGTATTTCCGGCTAACTTTTGAACACTTTTGGTTGATTTTTTTTCCCCCATCGCTTTGGTTTGTCTTTTAATTTCTATATATAGTTTCTAGGTCACACTATCGAGCACCCCGCCCCTCACCCCTTCCTCCTTTAACCTATTATATTAGGCGGACACCCTTGCCCGTGCACTCTTCCAAAAATAGATCAGACACAACAACAACAACATAAACCATAGACGTAGGTTACGGTTAGGTTTAGAAGCTAGATCTACACAAGAGCTGTCAACAGGATACACGCGGCGTTCGTGTCGTGTGTTCCCGCTCCGTGTGTGAGATCACCGGATGTAAACACTCGGTGACGTCACCGTGTGTTGGGTTTAAAAATCTTAGCAGACGCAGTACTGTTAGCACAGTTACATACATACATTACATCTGTTTGGCGGCGAGTCCTCTCTTGACGTGTAAGTATATTTACCTTATTGTAGCAAGTTTAAATAAAGTTAGATCTAGATTAGATAACAAAATCAAAGGTGTCTGTGAAACGGACTCACTTCATCGAATTATTTGTATCGCTTGTTGTAATCAAATCATGATAAGAATGGTGTGGTTATGGTCTGGTGGTTCAGGGTTTAGGTGTGGTTGCGATCTGCTGGTTCGTGATTCAGGTGTAATTTATGGTCTACTGGTTCGGGGTTTATGTGTGATTATGGTCTGGTGGTGTGTGGTTTTGGTCTGGTGGTTCGGGGTTTAGGTGTGGTTTTGGTCTGGTGGTTCGGGTTTAGGTGTGGTTTTGGTCTGGTGGTTCGGGATTTAGGTGTGGTTATGGTCTGGTGGTTCGGGGTTTAGGTGTGGTTTTGGTCTGGTGGTTCAGGGTTTAGGTGTGGTTATGGTCTGGTGGTTTAGGTGTGGTTATGGTCTGGTGGCTTAGGTGTGGTTATGGTCTGGTGGTTCGGGGTTTAGGTGTGGTTTTGGTCTGGTGGTTCGGGGTTTAGATGTGGTTTTGGTCTGGTGGTATAGGTGTGGTTATGGTCTACTGGTTCGGGGTTTATGTATCGTTATGGTCTGGTAGTTTAAATCCGTTACGACGGTGTTTTGTGTATGGCCTTCCCATTTTAAAAAGTGGTCTTGATGTAGCTGTGGACAAGCATTGAGTGATAAAAATACATCCGGGGGAGGGGGGAGTAGATTATTATTTACCTGCCGTGTTAGTCAAGGTTAGCCTAGGGCTATCAGCTGATAGAGTGACGACACTGTTTACGTGGGAAAGACCGGTCTACTCGCTAAAAATAAACGCTGCCAGTGTTTTTGTTACACGAGGAATAAATTAGACAACAAAATAATATTAACAAAACAAATGAGCGAAGTGAGGGTTCAAGAGCAAGTAATGTTTGGACAGTGTTCTTAATTTTATTGTTGGAAAGGATTCCATTTAATTAACATAATTAAGTATTGCGTGTCAACTTGTTATGCGCTTCTAGAGGCTTTTCTGATCTAGCAACAATGAGCTTTACCGACTTGACCTTCTGATTTTTATCCGTCTGTAAGCTGGTATAATTAAGCTAAAAATGTTCAGGGTAGAAATTGGGGCGAGCAGAGTTTCTTCCAGGTATCTCTTCGGGGAGACGAAGCCCCCCCCCCCCCCCCCCCCGAAAAAATTCTACCGCCCCCACCCCCCGAACGAAATGTAATTTATATAATTTAAATAGAAAATATATACTTTTAACAGTGTCCGCCGCCCCCCCCCCCCCCCCGAAGAAAGTCTACCGCCCCCCCCCCGAAAATTTCAAGTGCCCCCCCCCCCCCCCGGAGAAAAAAGTCTGGAAGAAACACTGGGGGCGAGGGGTGGGGTGACGGGACTTATCATCCCTTAAAATCAGAGAAGGGCTGGATCTTACTAGAATTTACTTATATTTATTGACATGCTTTTTTGTTGTCCATTTGTAGGCATCTGTGTGTGTGTTAAGCTTATATAATGGATCCCACTGATTCACAGTCGAACTCTATGACTGAATCCGAAGATCTAACTCAGTATTTTAGAGGTATGTTAATTAATAGGGTATTTTCAGAGAATAGAATAACAGTTGAATATATATACTTATACTGTGTATCTATTGGACACAATCAAATATTCTCAGTCTTATCTTCGATAACTATTTGCCATTACTACAACCCTAACCCTAATTAAAATCTTATTCCCTGTATTTTATAAAGTATTTTATCAGACAAGGTGTAGTAGTTTTTCTATTTATTGAATACCTGTGTCCAACCACTTTTACTGACCCTGACTTAAGCCGGGTACCTATTAGAGCTGGGTGGACTCAGGGACGTCAGTCAGGTACCCATTAGAGCTGGGTGCCCAACCACTTTTACTGACCCTGACTTAAGCCGGGTACTCATTAGAGCTGAGTGGACGTCAGTCAGCCACTTTTACCTACCCTGACTTAAGCCGGGTACCCATTAGAGCTGGGTGGACTCAGTTACGTCAGTTAGGTACCCATTAGAGCTGGGTGAACACAGTGACGTCACTTAGATTCCCATCAGATCAATTCATCCAAGTATAGAGTAAACTAGACAGAAATTTTTGCTAGTGAGTGCTGCCATGCTAACCCTGCCCCAGAACTCTAACCTAAACCCTAACCGTTGATACAACTTTTCCCCTCGTTTTTTAGTTCCTAGATCTTTATTGGTTCTAACCATAACATAACTGCCCCAGAACTCTAACCTAAACCCTAACCGTTGATACAACTTTTCCCTCGTTTTTTTGGTTACTAGATCTTTATTTGTTCAAACCATAACATAACTGCCCCAGAACTCTAACCTAAACCATGCAGCAATGTTTTCCCTTTGTGTTTGGCTCATGGAACTTTTCTTCCTCAAGGCGTTCACGAGGTTCTGGAGATCGACCCGGACCAAGGTCAAGGTCAGTGTTCGGGTCAAGCCGAGGTCGACCTCCTGTCCCACAAGAAACACTGCAGCAAGAGAGACAGGCACGGGGAGTTCATCCCCGTCAACGACTTCTCCCCGGGGCACCTGCCCTCCGGTTACCATGACAACGACGTCTACCAGCTGGTCAAGAACCTGGCCGCTCTCACGGTCAAGGTCGCGGTGAAGTTCACCAGCCTCGACCGGCCCGCTGTCGTCCCCGACACCAGCGTCCCCTACCCTTGTTTCAACCTCAGGGGCAAGAACTCTCTGAGAACCGGAACCGGGAAAATCGGGGGGTTCCGCATGCATAAGGAATCCGACGGCGTCCCCTGCCCGTGCGGGGCGTGCCGGGAGTCAGGTGACCCGTGTGCGGTGTGGGGGGAGGTGGAGGTGCTGACGGCCAAGCACGTGATTTACGACGACAGCGAGGCTCAAGCCGCGAGCTGCTGGCTGTGGTATGACGAGGAACAGAGTCCCGTGGTCACCGTCACTGGATGGAAGGTGGATAACAGAACCAATATCCACCTGGATTACTGCCTCCTCCACTGCACCACCCACAACCTGGAGATATTCGATCGCCTTCAGCAAGCGCATATTGATTTTACCTATCACCTGCTTGTTGCGAGCGAGAAGTTCGGGAGTCAGCGTGACGAAAATAAGATCACGATAATTGTGTCACATCCGCACGGGTGCACCAAGCAGGTGTCGGTGGGGCGTTGGGTGCACAGGCAGGTGTTCATGGAGGGGATCACCAGGTACACGTACACAACCTGCACGTGCGCGGGCAGCAGCGGCGCCTTCGTCTACAGGCTGGGGACGGAGGTGTCAATGCACCCCCATAGTGGCTCCACCCCTGCACATAGCTACAGCGGGATATCGCTGGAGTACAGTTAGGGGTGACCGATAGAGCGGAGGTTTGAACTGTGGAGTCTAGGACACTAACCTTTTCCCCCATGTCGATTTCCCTTTGCCCATATCCTTCGTCGATTACCTAAATGGTACTGTCATACAAGTTACCGAAAGAGGAATGGCTGAAATGAGCCAGTTGAGATTAAAATACATCGTATTTCTTACTTTGAGGCATTCTCTTAAATGACTAAATAGAGAAGCGGCAAAAATGTTACATAAACTTATACCCGCCGTAAAGTGTCCTAAACGTAATCCTAACATTACTTTATGGTTATCATTATTTCCCGTTCGTGCCCAAGAGACCCCGACATATGAAGGGATAGTATGGTCAACACTATAACGTAAGTTAGGTACCCATCAGAGGACCCATGGACTGATTTGAACACGGATTCGAACTCGAGACTCGGGTTAGCAGTCTAGCACTCTACCGCTAGTCCAGGCCATCCCACTCTATGGTTATGGTAACTCAATATTAGAATTAGCTTTAGGGTCAATTTCAATCGACAGGGGGTAATGTCTTACTCCACTGGTTGTGCGGTGGACAGGGGGGGGGGGCTTTAAATTGCTTTTATATGTACTTATATTAATCACCATCAATCCTGTGAACCACTTGTGGTGAATAGAAACACAACCACATTTTTTTTATTGTACTCTGTTCTGGAAGATTCCTTCAAGTTGGGCCCACGATATTCCGCCTGCTTCGGCTTCACATACAACTGATCTTTTCAAATTTTTTTTTGCCTACTTAGTTCCCTCTTTCCTTGGGGATTCCAATCTAGTGCCTGTCTGGTGATGTTGCTAGTTGGTTTACACAGGGTGTGTCCAATACATCGACATTTGCGACGTATATTAATACTGATGCATATTATTTTTATTCGTTTTATTTTCTTCAGTTTAGTGTAAATGAGAGTTTTGTTACCATGTATATTTTCATTCATTTTTAACATTTTTAGTGTTGAGAACCTTGCATGATTAAAAACAATTATGTACCCATTAACACACTAAAATGGGCGACGTGGCGTAACGGTAGAAAGCTAGACTGTTAACCGGAGAGTCGCGAGTTCGAACGTGGAACGTCCCTGAGTCCACCCAGCTCTGATGGGTACCTAAATTACATTAGGGAAACAGAGGCGGCTGGGAAAAGTGTTGACCACACTATCCCTGCCGAGGTCTCTGAAGCAGATGAACTCTACTTCATGTGTCTTGGGCACGAACGGGAATATGTTGATGCAGTAACTCACTAAATATATACGTAAAAGCGCGACGCCAAAAGTACTTCTTTAATTAGCAACGATGTAATAATGTAATGAATTTTGTAACTAATTAAAAACTGTAATATGTCAAAGTTCATCACGCCTTACATTTATCGGAACTTAGCTGCGCGTGAGTTTGACACTGATCGGGTAGGTAGCAGAGGCGTAGCGATGGGTGGGGCAGGGGGGGACATATGTCCCCGGGCGCCGACCTTAGGGGGCGCCAAAATGGGTTGTAAAAACAAATTAAAATGTCATTTTAGCTGTATTTTTGCAGTCTGAGAGGGGAGGGTACAAATCGAAAGTTTAATGGGGGTGCAAATCAAAAAGTTGAGGGGGGGGGGGGTGCCAAATTGAAAGTTTGTCCCCGGGCGCCGGGAAGGGTCGCTTTGCCTCTGGTAGGTAGGAGTGGGTTGAATTTCGTGCGCAAGTTTCCACCACTTCAACATGACTCACACAACAATCACACGTCAGTTTGATAATAGATTTGTATTGAATGTGTATGAATGATGAAAAATTTACTTACACCATTGTAAAAACTCATATTGGGTGCTTAATTATACTTTGTATCATAAGTGAAATGTAATTTGAGATAATTAAATAAATAAAATCTTGTGTAAATATTTTTTTTTTAATTTTGGCTCGAGTGGTAGAGCACGCAATTACTAACTTGCAAATCTCGAGTTTGATTCCTAGCCTGATTTAGATATCTGTGGCGAAAGGGGGTAAGTAAGGATAGCAGATGAACTCTGCTTTATTTGCCCTTTAGACTATCACGTTTGAGAGCACTTTACTCCATTAAATCAGGTGTTGGTACCAAACTGGGTGTTGATACCGAACTGGGTGTTGACTGTGTTGATACCGAACCAAGCGTGACAGGCACTGGTGATTTGTAGAAAAAAAATCAGGTATCACCGCTACAGGTGGTGACATCCAAAAGGTGATACCAACATCAGTTAGTGACACATCTATGAGAAGAAAGATGATAGTGGTGACAAAAAGCTCTACAGAGCCTAACAATGCCTGCCTGTATTTAAAAGAGGTCTCTCTTTGGAGATACCCTGCATACATTATTATATGTACTATATCAAAAGGTGATACCCGAAACATTTATACAATTTTGATAAAATGGGCGTTTATGGGGCTTAAATAGGAGAGGAAACTCTAATATTGGAAACTAAACTTAGAATGAATACTTCTAATCAGTTATGTTAAGAGGAATACAATTACGTCATATTTCAACTTAGTTATGAAGTTAATCTGCATGCACTTTTCCTGATTTAAAAAATAATATTCCGCAACAGTTACAAATGTTTGATGGTGATAATGGAAGCGTAGCATCCACCTTGACCTTGCAGAGAGGTCACGACCCCTATGTCTATAAACATATCGATCCGTCCGGTCACTCGCCACGCCCAACAGCCCTCGCCGCTCGCCCGTGGAACCAGATGTGTCCTGCTTGGTGCCAGAGGCAAGGGCCGCTACTCCACGTCGTGGGTCTAACTCAGGGCCCGTAACTCCACGTCTGTGGGTCTAAATCAGGGGCCGCTACTCCACGTCCGTGGGTCAAAATCAGGGGCTGTCACTCCACGTCCCGGCACCAGAGGCAAGGGCCGCTACTCAGTGTCCTGGTGCCAAAAGCAAGGGCCATCACTCCGGGTCCCTGAGAGTGATTGGAAAAAGTTGTTTCCAAAACCAGCATCGATCGGGTAAGTCGGAGAGTGAGTGTGTTTATGTGTAAGTGTGTGTATGGTTGTGGGTTTGTTTATGAGCCTATTTTTGTGTGAATTAATTTAATTTCGTTTTCGTCAGTTTGTGTGTTATGCTGAGTTTAAGTTCTGTGATGCCTTTGTATACAACTTTGGTGTGTACGTGTGAAACAACGTTGGTTTTTATTACGTATGTTATACCTGTATGTATGTTGTTATGTGTTGTTACGTATGTTATACCTGTATGTATGTTGTTATGTGTAATTCTGTTCACCAAACATCATTGTTTGGTAGTAAGGCTACATAGTGACCAGGTAAGCAGTATCTTAGGACACAAGGTATGTATGTAAGCATACCAGGTGAGTAGGTAAGTATGTAAGCATACCTAGTGAGTAGGTATGTAAGCATACCAGGTGAGTAGGTAAGTATGTAAGCATACCTAGTGAGTAGGTAGTACCAGGTGAGTAGGTTTAGGTAATTAGTTGTTTCGTGGATAGACACTCGGTGAATAGACATTTGTTGATGTAGGATTTTAGAAAAACGAGAAGTGAGGTCCATGAGGCAAATAGAGTTCACCTGTTTCTGTGACCTTGGTATTTGAAGTTATTGTGTGGTCAGCACTATTTTCAGCCGGCTTTACTTTCCGTAACATGTGTTAGGTACCCATCAGAGCTGGGTGGACTCAGGGACGTTCTACTGAATAAACAAGGGTTCAATCTCGAGACATTCAGGTTAACAGAGTAGCGCTCTACCGCCATGTTAGTATTAAACATTAATTATAAATAATTTGCTTAATAAAATTATGTACTTATTGTTTGTTTGGTTCGTAAGTACAAGCAGTGGCGTAGCGAGGTCGGGTGTCACCCGGTGCGGCACTTAATGGTGTCACCCCCCAGGGGCGTAGCGACCCTTCCCGGGGACAAACTTTCAATTTGCACCTCCCCCTCAAACTTTCGATTTGCACCTCCCCCCTCAAGTTTTCGATTTGCATCCCCCCCCCTCAAACTTTCGATTTGCACCCCCCCTCAAGTTTTTCTCTATATATTTTGCTATTCTTTGCCTTGGTGTCACCCCCCTAAATGGTGTCACCCGGTGCGGTCCGCACCACCCGCCCCCCCCCCCCTCGCTACGCCCCTGAGTACAAGTACTTTTAAATGACGTTCACGCATTGTAAGACTGCCCATATGCTTTCGATTGTTTAATTTTTAAAAAGTTCATCCTACTATTAGCTAGCGAAACGTAATTTTTTAGTTTTTTAAACTAACTTGCATGTTTGGTTTATTTTCTGTTACTAAACACCTTAATTTAGTCTTGTGTAAATGACGTCACGTTTTTGAAACTATTTTACCCTCCCCACACACACACTCACACACACACACACACTCCTTTCCGTCATTACACTTCGTCATAATAACCTTCCACCCCCGCCCCCCTCCCCTCCAGCATGACAGAACTTCCATTGCCACAATTATTGATTTGAAAAATATTGACTGTTATGTGTCGGCCTTCTATATAATGTGCCATTTTATTAGAGTTTTTTTTTAATTGCTTATTTAAATATAAAAATATGACGATAAACTTTCTAAGCTATCATCATCCACCACATTGGCGTGGCATAGCGGTAGAGCGCAAGTCTACTAACTCAAAAGTCTCGAGTTCGAATCCTACTCTACTTCACCTGCCCCATGCCCGTCAGGTTCGAGAAGCGAACTTTATTACACTGCGACTACCATGTTTATATTTTGTGTACTTTATGGACCACGCCATAAAAAATCGAAGTTTCTATAATTGCCGGTTTTTCTTTCACGATCAAAAAACGTAATAATTAACTGTTGCTTACTTATTTTTTCAGATCTGCTAATATAGTTTTCAGCTATTCAGAAGCTAGACTACTAATATCGTTTCCAGCTATTCAGAAGCTAGACTACTAATATCGTCTCCAGCTATTCAGAAGCTAGGCTACTAATATCGTTTCCAGCTATTCAGAAGCTAGCCTCCTAATATCGTTTCCAGCTATTCAGAAGCTAGAATGATATTTCTGAACAGACCATGAAGCCAAATAAAGCTGACCAATTAGATAGCGGCTATTTATAAACGCGACCTAATTTCCCGGAGTGCAATGACCTCAACCCAAGAGGGTGTTCGTGCCGTATCAAACGTATCCGACAGCCAAACAATGTCGGAGCATCGAGAAAATTCCTCCAAATCCCCGAACCGGAAATCCAAACCGTCGGACAGCAAGCAAATCAAATCCACGGAAAACGAAAAACGGAACGCCGCCAACGTCGAGAAAAAACAACAATCAACGACGAACACCAAAAACTCGGATTCAAAACCCGAAATCCGGAAAAAATCCGAAACAAACCATGAAATCGACGCGATTTTGGCGCGAAAAATGAGCAGTACGGATTTGAACAGCGGCGCACGAGCGAAGAAAAAAATCTCCATCATCGCCGCCGTGGAGGAGGATCCGGCGTGGCGCGATATAGGTGAGTACCAGGAGCTGAGGAGGACGAAGTGCAGACGACTCTACTCGAAACTAGGTCAGCACAAGGACCTGGCCTTGTTTTATAGGTCAGGGACGTTTTATGCGATGGAGGCCTGGTGCTCTCATATGGGTGAGTACACGTGTGTGTGTGTGGGTTATGCTGACCTGAGTGGTGTCTGGTACGATATACGGGAAAGTGGGAAGGGTTCAACATGTGTGACGTCATGAAATCGTATCACCACCCCCACTATCCACCCGCTTCCTTTATATGTCGTCATAGAAAGCAAAACTCCATCCTAAATTCGCGTTCAAATAAAGAATCCACCCTCCATCAAATAATCCACCCTCCATTAAATAATCCACCCTCCATCAAATAATCCACCCTCCATCAAATAATCCACCCTCCATCAAATAATCCACCCTCGAATAAATAATCCACCCTCTATTAAATAATCCACCCTCCATTAAAAATAATCCACGGTTCATTAAATAATCCACCCTCCAATAAATAATCCACACTCCATTAAATAATCCACCCTCCATTAAAATAACCGTAACGTAAAGTAACGAGTTTATATATTTACAACTGTTTATCCTTGCTCACAATGTCCGGATACTTGTGCCGTTATGACCAGTTATAAGCTCAATATTGATGTATACCTAACGGATTTATTTCTTTCAAATTTGTCGGATAAGTGCACATACGATCCGATGACAACGCAAGAATATATAGCTTCCAATTGACTTTGTTTTTAAATGTTTTTAAAGAGTAAAGATTCCCCTTAAAATTCACCTAACGTGAGTTAGGTACCTATCAGAGCTGGGTGGACTCGGGTACGTTCCACTCACTTGAACCCGGATTCGAACTCGAGACTTTCGGGTTTATACAAAAATCAATAACTCATTTAGAGATAACAATTTTCAATAACAAAAGGGGAGAGAAGTAGGTAGTAGCGACCACTCGATTAGCCAGGTGACTTGAGTTCAACTGTTATACACGGATGTTGTTGACAAAGCTGTCAACTAAGACGAACAGTGGTTCTTTCAGAGTTTTTTTTCTCTGGGGCAGGGGAGGAGGCTTCGGGTGGGGAGGGGGCGTACTATAAAGATGAAGTGTATATTTTCTACATAAATTATATTTCGTTTGAACACCCCCCCCCCCCTCCTCCCATCAAAGTGAAGTTATTTATGGACTTATTTTTTGACTTGGTTCCATATTTGCCGTCTATTTTAAAGTATACTAAAATTACAGGGTGATTACAAATAAGGAAATTAAATAACAATACATATAGCTTTAGCTCGGACTTGATATTTAGGGAAGGTGTGTGGGGGGGGGGGAGGGGGGCAGACTAATTTTTCCGGAGGGGGGGGACACTGGAAAAATTATATAGAAAATATTTTGTTCGTTGGCGGGGCTAGTGTGTCCGTCCCCCCCCCCCCCCCACCCCACCCCCCAACCCCACCCTCCGAAGAGATGCCTCAAAGAAGCTCTGTAGACTGACGATGCGAAGGTACTACCTTACATGGTGTGCTTGTAATTAGCAATGAATACAGCTAGAACAATTCCTTCATCCCTCTCTCCACTTACAGGGTCGACTATCCTAGCACTAAAACCTGCCCTATGTTTTAAGTATTTAGCCGTTTTACTAACACTTTGCGGATAAATTACTAGGCCTATCTTTAAGTATCTATTAATATTCTTGACTAAATCACGTTCCTAGAATAGATGTGTCGTCAGCGAATTGAGATAAATTACCTCCAAGCAAGCCTGAAGAAGAAAGCCTTTAAACTATTTACCCACTCTGAGGAACTCCAATTGTGCATCAATCAATTTATTGGCGTCTAATTTCACGCAACACCGGGTGGGGAGGGTGGGGTTGTGAGGGGGGGGGGGGGGTAAGGCTAAATTGGGCGAACAAAGCAAGTATTGATTTTATTTCTTCATCTCTCCCAACTTTCTTCTTGGCAGGAGTAGGTCCTTGGGGTATTAGGTCAGGAAAGGTCTGACCTTTTCACTAATTTTGTTAGACCTACAGTTAGCTTCCAGCTATTTTTGTGTTGGTAATTATGTTTTTTTCAAACAGAAATAAGGTGGTAAAAAGTAATTAAAATAAACAGAAAATGTTGTTTTAAATAAATATTGCGTTTTTTATGGAGTAGTGCACATGCTATATAAGACAAACCAACGGGTGTATCACTTTATTATATCTATATATATGATTCTCTTCTGGGAGACGCTAGAAAACAAGCTGTAAGCGCGCTCCCTACCACCCCCCCCCCACCACCACTACATCATCTGGTGAGCTGTGGTTCACTCTAAATGTTTTTAGTGACGAGTATTAGGGGCAGATAATTTAGTTTGAAACGATTTTAAACGTAGGGGTGGGGGGAGTAACTAAGTGGATTTTACTGTAACGGAGGGGGGAAGGAGGGGGGTATCGTCCTTAACGAGCTACTTATAGTGTTTTAAAGAAATATTTTCAGTGGCAGCGTTGGTACTGTCGAATTCACAAATTATGAATTATTGAAAAGTAGAAAAAACAACAACTAAATAGCGGCGTATGATATGCCGCGGGTCGGCTCGTTGTATTCAGAGTTTCTTCCAGGCATCTCTTCGGGGGGGCGAAGCCCCCCCGAAAAATTTTTACCGCCCCCCCGAACGAAATGAAATTTATATAATTTATATAGAAAATATATACTTTTAACAGTGTCCGCCCCCCCGAAGAAAGTCTACCGCCCCCCCGAAAATTTCAAGTGCCCCCCCGGAGAAAAAAGTCTGGAAGAAACACTGGTTGTATTATATAGGCGTTTGCACAATATATTGTTTAACACTGTCTTTGGTTTACCTTGCTCATTGTAGTATTTGTTACACTTTTACTTTTAGAATGGTAAGATATATGAGTTGACAGAATATACGGCTTTCTTTGTCTGCTTGCTTTTCTAATTACAGATAATTATGTATGCTTAAGATTTCTAAGAAAAATAGTCATTTTTTAAAGATATTATATATATATATATATATATATATATATATATATATATATGTATATATATATATATATATATATATATATATATATATATATATATATATTTAATATTTTATCATTTAATTAAACAACGAAATATATCGATTCGTTGTCGCATGAAACGCTTGACTCTGTGCCACAAGGGGTAAAAAAATTTATACTGCTAATACTGCCGTGAGCAGTCAGACATTGACGTCATCGGGTATTTTCATTCAAGGCCTTGTAAAGCCATCCGTCCATTATTGCCTTAGCACGGTTACAGCCACGGAGTTACTTCCCTTTAAAACTAGGGGTTCTTTTTTTTTTTTCCAGACTTTTCATTAGTTCCTGGCTATTTTAAAAGCCACTGCATTACTACTCTCGTTAGGGATAGATAATGATCAACAATTATTTTTTCTTTAAAGCTGTAAAAGAAACGGTGAGCAGAAAAAAAAAGGCAACGGAAAATTGTGTATACGAAAAACAAGAGTAAATACAAAATCATGACTCTAATACAATTTCAATGGGCTTCGTGGCAAGATGTTTTATTATGCTAGGTCTCAGATGTGTCTCTCTTTTATAACTTCTTTGAATTGTCGATTAAAAAAAAACTCCATTCGCACTTTTTTTGTGCGCAATTATCCATTGCGCATTTTTCCGTAAAGTGTTTTTTCTTCTTCTGGAAACCAGAAATAACTGTGTGATTGTTACTGTTTCTGTTGTAGTACCGATTAAGCCAAGTATTCAACACAAACTGTGTTGTTGAGCTCATCTAGCAATAATAATTACCCAACAGTGATCAAATGGGCTGATGAAGTAGAGTTTATACGTTTTTTACCTCGGTATATGAAAGGGTTGTGTATTCAGCACTATGCCCAGCCGCTATTACTTTTCCCAACGTAAGTCAGGTACCCATCAGTGCTGGGTGGACTCAGGGTTGTCCTACAGTCACAAATCTGAACCTAGATCCGAACTCGAAACTTTCGGGCCAGCAGCCAAACGCTCTAGCATTTGACCACGTCGTCCCATAATACCAAACACTCCGTGTACTGAAACACCTGTCTTAGATCTCAATTTTCCAACAGGTAAATGTATTGTCTACACACAAAAAAGATGAAAAGCCATTAAAAAAGTTTATCGGATTAATACATTTTAAGACTTTTAAGATTTCCAATTTATATTTAATTAACACAATGACTTAACAATTATGTCTAGAGCGTGATAACAACGTTATTGTGTACTTCAAACTGAATGTTCCCCAGGGTGTGTTGTTTTGTAAATCTTGATGCTGGTGTTCGTGTTAACAATTAAATCGATTATTAAACCAGGAAAGACAACCTAAATCGTACTTTAGGCGGGGCGTCTAAAAGTACCATCGGATTTTCTATTCTCCGTGTGTATTAGAAAGTGGTGTCCCAACTATTTCGGAGTTTTGTGGTATAGTGGCGTGTCGCATGTTTCGTTTTAGAATGGTGTGTCCGGAATGGTTGTCCCAATGGTGTGTTTATTGTGGTGCGTGTTAGGGTGTTGAGTCCAGGTGTGTTTAGTGATGGTGTATCCAGTGTTTCTTTCTGACTTTATTCTCCAGGGGGGGGGGGGGTGACTAAATTTTCTGGGGGGGGGGGGGGGGGGGGGGCACTGGTAAAGTATATGTTTTCTATATAAATTCCATTTCGTTTGTGGGGGGGAGGGGGTCATAGCCTTTTTCGGTGGGGAGGGGCTGCCTAGAAGAAACTGAGTGTATCTGAGGTGTCTACTGCAATGGTGTGTCGGAGGTGTGTCTTGTAATAGATGTCCGCTGAGTATATCATTGTAGTGTGTCCGATGTGTGTTATGCAGGTGTGTATCCGATGTATGTTATATGTCAAATATGTGCTATGATGTATTCGAAATGTGTTATATGGTGTGTTATATGTGTACGAATGTGTGTGTTGTTATCCTCATTTCTATCCAAAAGTTGTGTACAAAATGAGTTTAAATTCTGTGTCTAGAAACTGTGTTCGGATGGTATCTCAAACGGTGAGTACTAAGTGTGTGTTAGAATTTTAAAGTAGCCTATTGTGTCGGTGTATTGTGACTCAGTTATAAAGCTGGATGGTGTGTTCGGATGTTGTGTGTTGAA